ACAGACAACCTCTCGTCAATATGCGTTTTTTGCATTGCATAACTGCAAAAAACGCATAAAAACCAAAATAATCAAAAATACTGCATAATCAATCAATCTATGTTTTTTTTTTGGGTAACGTTACTTTGGGTAGTTACTAAAACACGGCTTGACTCGGCAGCGTCCATACACGATCTGCGGCCAACTTTTTCGGGTGTCTATACCTCGCTGTTGTATTAGAAAGCTTGATGCGTCGCTACGGTAAGATGGAGTGGCAGTGGAGAGGGGAGATGTTAGCGGACATACAGAGTAACAGCCAAGTCGTGTTTTATTAATTGCCCTGCTCTGGAAAGCCGATAGGTTCAAGGTGTAAGTAACCAGCGAGATTAAAAACCTATGCGCGATACTTGGGACCTAGGATAAGTAAGGTTATTGCTTGCAATCGGAACGATAAGAACTCATTGCCTAGTCGGTTTGAGGAACTTAGGTCTTAACGTCCTTGTCATTCTTCAATCAGTCTACCTCATTCAAACCGCTGTATCAAAGTGACGCAAACTATACTGTCATTAATTTGCTACCCTTGACATTTCTACATTTTTTTTTTCATGAATATATGAAAAAGACAAACCAATGGTTCAGGTGGTGAAAGAGCTGGTACAGAAGTACACGTTGTTCGAATCCCTTGGCTTTCGGAATTAGCTTATGATAGGCTGCATGGAATTGTTGGCTGAAACCGCCGAACATCGTCAAAATGCCGAATTCATACTCGCTATGCCCGTAAAATGATGCCGGATCGAATAATACTGCAAAAAAAACGATGCATTTGGAAAGAGAGAAATCCCCGATTTGTTTTTGGAGATAAATTTTGCTCTGACCTGGACCATCTTTACTGAACGAATAGTTTCCGGACCATAGATCACCGTGTAGTAAGCTTGGAAAAATCTCGCAATCTTTAAAATATTCCGGAATTTTTCGCTCTAACTGAGACCACAAAGAAGGCAATTCTCGGTCACCGGTTTTCTGAAATATACGGATTTTCGTTGGTTTCTGGATTAGTTGTGAGATCATCAGAATTTCTATATGATGTTGACAAACAAAGGCAAAAATTCTAGAAATGATAAGGAATCCTTTAGTGGCACCAGCTAGGAGGTAAATGGTCGCTTGTACAGTTTCCAGGGAAGTAGCGCACATACATCGAACAGGCGGTGGGTACTAAATAGAGGAATGCAGCTCAGAATCGAAGGACTTGTCAATAACTGCGCCCAGGGTTTGGAAGCTTCACAGAAACAGCATTAACCATAGGATACCCGCAGTGATGTTCGCGCGCTCATAATATCCTTGGTAAAGCGGCCAGTTTCGGTGTTTTTTACGT